TTGCCGGCTTCCAGGCTTCCTCCAGCTCTTGCCATGTCATGCAGGCCTCGACGGTTTAGGACTTTTTTGGGGTTTAGGATTTAGGGTTTAGGGTTGAGGATGTCGAGTTGAGGGTTTACGGGTTAGGGTGTTTCGGACGTTTAGGATTGTGTTAGGGTTTTCTCTTCTCTAAGGCAGCGTTACGGTTTGGTGGCTTCTTTGGGGGGTTTTGTATCAGGGTTCGGTTATGGGGTTTAGGGTTTCAGATTTTGGATTTCGGAACTTGTTGGACCGCTCAGGCAAAGCCATGCGGTCTGTATCTTGCTGGTGGCTTTCCTCGTACCTGAAACATACATGCATACATGTTCGCATATACACACATGCTTACCTGCATACCTGCCTGCATGTTGCCGAGCTACCTACCTACCTACCCACCCACCTAACTGTTAACGACTCCTAGTCTAGATTATGAACATGTGCATACACAAAAAGCTTTGCCTAGACCTATTCCGAAACTTATTCCCATACTTATTCCTGCACCTATACAGCCTATACACATACGCATATGACATGTGCATCAGAAACACACGCACCTGCACACATAGAGACACACAGACACGCAGAGGAAACTCCCACCTCCAAGTTTTGAATGGCCTCCTCCATGAGGCTGGTATTCACTTCCGCCTCCTTTGAGGTCTGTTGGCCTGAAGGGGTCGAGGTTTGGGGCTTAGGACTTCTTCTGTCGGCTCAAGGCCTTGGGTTGAGGGTTTGGGGCTTCGGGATTTGGCAGGGGCTTTAGGATTGGCTTGTTTATGATTTATGGCTCTTCTCTTCGTTCTACGGCTGCGGAGTTTCTCGCGTAGTTGGCCTCTGCGTTGCGGGTGTAGGATTCAAGGGTTCGGGGTTCAAAGGGTTTAGGGCACTTTAGGGTTCAGGGGCTTTAGTAGGTTTAGAGTATCGTGGTTTAGGGCTCTTCGAGTTTTGAACCCTAGGGCCCTATGCCTAGACAACTCGAGACGGCCACAGACCCCAGACCCGCAAAGCCTCGCAAGGCCTGTAGGGTTTCGGGTTTAGGCTTTTGGGTTTTGGGTTTTGGGTTCAAAACCCCAAAACGCCTCAAGACTCAAGTTTCACAATCAACAAGACCACGCAGCCAAAAAAACCGAAACAAGCCCCAAACTCCTGCAACCATAAACCCTGAATCCGAAAGCGCGAAGCGCCAAAGCCTGAGTTCTCGACCCAATAGACGAGGCTTCGAGCCGTAAATAGTGGCTTTCCGAAAGAGAAAAGCAGGCAAGGGAAATGCAGGGCCTACGTAGGCCAGGAAGAACTCTGTGGCCTTGCTAATCCTGAGGTGAAGCTTAGGCTTCGAGGCTTTGGGGTTTTAGGGTTCGGGGCTTTTGGGTTTCAGGGTTTTGGGGTTGGGGGTCAACGCCTGTATATGATGGCCTAGGATTCGGTGCGTTAAGCTTGCATGGGGTTCAGGAAGTACAGCATGCAGCATGGCTTCGAGATAGGGTATGCTGTAACTATACTCACTACTCACTGTCCCATACATAGAAGCTACTCCCTAGACCCGAAATCCTAAGCCCGAAATCTACACCAAACATTAAGTAAAAACACAGACAGCCATCCAAAAATGCACTGAGGATCAGTTCCTCACCACCCTCCTCCAGATCCTCCTGGGCAGCGTGACAGAAGGCTCCACAACTTAAGTACTACTCCGCCCCCTTGCTTCGTTTTGGAGTTCAGCACCCAAGGGTTAGGATTTCAGTTTAGGGGCTTCGGATTTGTTTCGGGTCTCCGGCTTTGGGGTTTTGGCTTCAGGCATAAGAATCACAATACCCGGTATATCAGCCCCCTACACCATGAACCCCAATCTCTAGACCCTGCTGCACCCCCCTAAACCCTTCTTCTTGCTGAACAACACCCAATTCAACAGAGGCGCGCTGCGAAGGTCGTTGGTGCCATCCAGGCCAGGGGGAGGGTCTCCGTGCGCCGCCTCCAGCATGGCTTCGACGATGGCGTCGTAAAGCCACTGGTCCCGATCCTGGGGTTTAGGGTTGAGGGGTTTAGGGTTCAGGGTTTTAGGGATGTAGGGTTTAGGCCCGCGGGCCATTGTTTCAGGCTGGGGATTTATATAGGGGTGTAGATTTTCCAGTATGGCGTTTCGGTGTTTAGGAGCTTGCGGATGTTGGTTCGGTTCGGAAATTTATTGGGTCCGATTCTGGACGTAGGAGCACAGGGTTTCCGGGCGAAAGCTCGCTCAAACCACCTATCAGCTCTACAACCTTGCACAATGTAGACACAGGGAACCCCATGAACCCCAAAGCATGAAAGCTATCAGTCTAGACCCCAAACCCCAAAAGAAACGAGAGCTGTGAGAAGAAGGCTCGAAACGAGTCTTCGGGCCAGATCTGTTGGTGGCATCGATCCTGGCCAGGGCTTTAGCTTTAGGGTTTAGGGCTCAGGGCAGTCTGCTCAGCATCGGGTTTCTGCGAAGCGGATTTCGAGCAGGGAGAGCGGAGGCACCGTTTGAGGGTTTAGGGGTTTAGGCTCCGGCAGGATCAATGCTTTTTGCCCTGTGAGGCAGTCAGCTTTGCACCGCCAGCTTAACCCTCAGCCCGTAATGTGCCCTAAGCCCCAAAGATCGTAGCACCGTTCAAGCTGAGCCCTAACCCTCAACCCGAAACTCCCAGCCCCAAACCCAACAAAGCCAAAGAGCCCCTTCACCCAAGCAAAAAAGCTGCACCACCAAATGCTGGAACCCTGAACCCTGGAGACCTAAAACCCAGGAGCCCAAAAACTTCAACCGCTCAAACCCACAACCCCGGTACCAGGGGCCTTAATAATTAGAATGGGGGTTTGGTGGAAAAATTACACAATAAGTATATTAAGGAGCCCCCGAAACAGTAGAGGTGAGTATTAAGGCCCCTAGAATGAGCATCCCCCCCTTCTCCGTGCCCACCAACAACAGCCCAAGTCTCCCTTGACGGAGGCAACTCAATGCCGAGGCGATGTGCATGTCGTAGAGGCCCCGCCTTTTCAAAAGGATCTTCGGCTTAAGAGGGCTTTAGGGTTGAGGGTTTAGGGGTTTAGGGTTTAGGGCTTTAGGGTTCAGGGCTTAGGGGCTCAGGGTTTAGGGTTTGCCCCTTTTCGGACGGATTGTCGGCTCGAGGGCGGTAGGATATAGGGTTCCCCCCTGATTTCGGCTTGAGGGGGTGAGGTTCCAGCGTTTAAGGGCCGAGGTAGAGTCGTAGATCCTTTCCAACATCTATAAGACCACATGATTCAAACTAGGTGTGTTGATAAGACTTCTCAAAGAAGCGCAGCAATTGCGGCTTGAAGGCTGGCGATGACAGTACTCCTTCATAGCCCGTATGTCACGACTATAGAACAACATCGAACATATCCTGACCCAGCAGCTGCCCCCCTTGCGAGTCATTGAAGGTCTTTCTTCGGACGACCTCAAACCTGAAGCCCCAAGCCTAAACTCCAAGCTGTGGCCCTCCAGAACCCAACAGAAACCACCTGCACCCCTAACCCCTAAACCCGGAAACCAAAATCCTAATAGCCCTAAACCCTAAGCCCATGTCCTAAACACCCCCGGTCGATCTTGCAGCCGTGGGTCTTGTTCAGGGCCTTCCCCAGATTCGTCAGCTTTCGAACGGCCTCTTGCATCGACATGTCCGCAAAGTCGAACTTACCTCGGAATTCTGTGGTTGTTTCTGTTTATAAGGTTAGGGTTCAGCGTTTGCGGGGTTACCCAAAACCTCAACACCACTATGAAACTCTTACAAAACCTATAAAAAAGCATGAGAATTTGTTGAAGCCCTCTTCTTAAGTTGCAAGCTTTGCAGTCAAGCTGCCCTCCAGCCCCGGATTGTCGGGATCCCAGTCTTGCTCGATCAAGTCATGGTGCCGGCTGTCCATGATAATCAGGGGGATGCCACAGGTCACCTGAGCTCAAACCCTCAACCGTGGGCTCATGGCTTACATCCGCTGACGTGGCCAAGAAACGGCCTATCGGGATGAGCTACACTTTTGCTGACACGAGAAAGAGAAGAAACGATGGTCGTTACGGAATGGAACTTGCAGTTCTCGATTCTCTTAGATTGCCTTCACCGGGTTGTGGGCCCGCCTGGGATGTAAGAGTCACGGGAGGGCAAACTACCGTAGCTTTCACTTTGCCACCTTCGAGAGACATGCACACATCTGCCGACCTCCTGCTATTCTGGCGGGGCACATGGTTCGCCACCTGAACGGAGGAACAAAGGCAGCGGGGCTGATGGTCTTGGGACTTGGATTCTCGAGCCCAACCTGAAGCCCTGATTCCTGTTCTGGTTTCGTGCTAGTCTGGTTTCTCAAATCTTTCAGAACATCCAGGTCAACGCTTCCGACTCGGCTCCACCACTTTAAACACCCCGAACCCCTGAAATGCATAAGGTTAGGGCCTAGGGTTTTCGAGCTTGCGGTTTTGGGCTCAGCCTAAACCTTAAACCCTAGCACACATAACCTAAACCTCAAGCCCAAGCCAAACAAAAAGTGCCCAAAACCCGGTAGCCTTTCGCCGAAAGTGTATCCCGTCAACTTCCATCTACCTAGATGGGCTTGAAAATGTAAGGTTATCAATGAAACCATAAACCCTGAAGCCCTAACCCCTACACCAAAGCCCCGAACCCAACCCTAAACCCTGGAGCCTTACACCCTCAAGCCCCAAAACCCTAAAGCCCTAAAGCCTCAAAGCCGCTCGAAACCCCGTTTCAAACCCTAGATGAGCCTAGATGTGTTCAGGGTTCAGGGCTTATGACTTTAAGGCGTTTACTTCTTTAGGGTATTTTTTGGAGTCTTTAGGGCTTCCGGCTCTCGTGTCTGAGCTTTAGGCCTCGGCTTCAGGGAAGCTTCACATCCAACACTCAACCCCTAAACCCCCAACCCTAAACCCTTAAACACTAAACCCCTATACCCCTATGCCCTAAACCCCTGAACCCCTAAACCCTACACCCCTAAACCCCTAACCCCTAAACCCTGAATCCCGCCTGAGGGCTGAGGGTGTTGAGGTCCCCGCCGGTCCACAAGGCTAGGACCGGCCTCGGCTTCGCTTCCGGCAGCTTGCTGGGCTTAGGGCTTAGGGTTTAGGGTTTAGGGTGTCATGGTGTCAGCTTCCGGATATTAGGGGGGCCTTGGCATCAGAGCCGGGATGTTTAAGCGGAGAATAATGGCGAAGACTGCTTGTTGAGGCCCCCATAGCCATAGTAGGAGGAAGCAGGGGGAGCGGGGCAGATCGAGAGCGAGGGAGAGAGCGAGCGAACGAGCAGGTTTAGGGCTTAGGGTTTAGGGGTTTAGGGGCACGGATGGATGCAATTCTGTGGCATCTAGGCCTCCAAGTGGCAGATACGTGTGCAAAGAGGTGACGAACATGTTCTCAAACTGCACCGCCGCACGAGAGTCGTGAAGGCGTTCCTCGTTCCTGCGCATTGGGATGCTCCAATACAAAGCTCAAAAAGTGAAAACATCCGGTGGGATAGATTGAGGGTTGTGGAGTCTTCAGCGCCTCAAACTGAAGCCTCACCGGAATCCCTCAACACCCTCAGCCCTAATTTCTGAACGCTTGCCTCACGCCCAGAGACCAAAACCCCAAAGCTGTCTGGTTCTTAGTCGGGAATGGGGGAATGGATCCCTATAGTAGCCCCTATATACTCCCCAATAATAGTCCCCATAATCCATTCCCCCATTCCCTACCAAGGGAGACAAGGCGGTCTCCGATGCTTGGGAAAGGCCGGGTCTCAAGCACTCGAAGACCATGTAGGCGGCGGCGCCCTTCACCAACTTCTGCTGCGGCCAAAACGCAGGATCGCAGCCGAATTTATGGGACAGCGCCTTTCCGAAAAGGGAGCAGAGTCCTTTGATCCTCTAAAAAACGCCATGTCGTAGTAATCCTTATTCGGAACCCCTACTACAATTTATTTTTGTTCTTGTTTTGGACCAAAACCGCCCAACGGCCTTGACGAAGTTGGCTTTGGACCAGGACGCACTCTTCCTACGTTCCACTTTAGCTGGAGCATAAGGGGCTCAGTAAGATAAGTAAGCTAATTGGGGTTACATCTCTCGACAAGGATGCTTACCTTTCTAAATCGCTGACTACTACCTCCCATATTTCTTTAGTAGAAAAGTAACCTTGACCGAATGCAAAACAAAGAGTTTTCACAACATCGTATAAGAGGTTGATGGAGTTCTACAGCGTTTTTACGCTGTGCTACAGGAACCCAACTTGCACTACCATAAACTGGACAAGTATTGCTTCGCAGCTTCTCTTTGAGAATGTGCTCGACGCTGTCGCTCTTCATCGTGGATCTTACATGCATGTTCCAGGCATGCTCGAAGATCACCATCCGAAACCTGGGATCTTGAGTTGTTGAGGCTGCACAAACGTCTTAGGGAGGTTTTGCAAGACGTCAAGACCGCCTTTATGAGGGTTAAGGAACACATGTGTTTGAAATTACATACTGGTGTTGTTTAATGCGCAAGTCTCGCCTACCGCTGCTGCTGAGAGCGGTCAAAACTGCAGACCGTCCCCTCCTAAAGCGGCACAAACGGACTGGAAACCCTTCGAAAGGCCTGTAGGATGCTGGCAACAAGGGAGCCTCCTCCGAAAACAGACCCTGAAGTGGAAGCGGTATCATCCTTCCAATAAGAATCACCAAATTTGGTGGCCTACTTTCTCAAACTCTCACATGCCTCAGAAAATTCAGCTGGATTTATGAGGTCATCGTGCCGATAACCTTGTCTCGATCCTGGTTGCTAGTCGGAGGACCTCTACTAACTGCTATGCTTTCCTCCTTATATAATTACGCCATGATTATGCCAGCTAGCTTTAATCCCCAAACCCCAAGCCCTAAACCCTCAACCCCAAACCCTGAACCCTTACGACTCTGCTCAGAAATGCCCGGGAGCGGGCACTGGTCCCCATAGCGCCGCTGGATCGGAGCCGAGACTTCTGCAAAGGCCGTGGTAAGGCTGCAAGAGCTCGTCCCGATGATCAGGGCCTGAGTCCTTCGGTTTCAGAAGCTGTTTTTGTTGCTTTTTTGCTGTTGGGGCTTAGGGTTAGGGTTTAGGTTTAGGGCCCTTCGGTTTAGGAGTCTTTGGCTGTTTGGGTTCAGGATTGACGATTCCGAGTCTAGGGTTTAAGGTGCCGCGTTTAGGAATTTTGGGTTTTAGGGGCTTCAGGGTTTTGCGGCTTCGGGGTCTTGCATTTTCCGGCTGTGAGACTCTATGTTTTAATTTTAATAAACTGGATTTACGATTCAGGATGCTTCCCGAGCTCTGAAAACGTCGAACCCCTAATTACTTCCCAAACCCTAGGACACCTTTCAACTACACCTTAAAACCCTGAACGCCCAAACCCATAAACCCTGAACCCTGAAACCCACAATGAACCCTAAAACCAATAAACCTTAAATCCTACACCGTGAATCCCATAAAACCCTAAAAAGCCTAAAACCCCTTAAACCCTTAAACCCTAAACCCTAAACCAAAGCGAGGGCTCTTCATGGCCACTGGCAGCAGAACCTCTCGAGCGATGAGATTCATGTCGGTCTCGACCATCTGCTCGTGCCCCTCGAGCTCTGGATTCGCCTTTCAAGGTGGTACTATCGGGTAGGGCTTAGGGGCTTGGGTTTACAGCAGGGCTTAGTAGCAGTCATAATTATGCTTTAGGGCCAACGGCTGGAATCGATTTCGGACCTCATCCATAAAGGCGGGAAAAAAAGCAAAAGCTTAAGACTCTGTTTTCTCTCCAAACCCTAAACCGAGCCTTCGTGGGCAAGATGTTCCTGATGGCCGGACGACCCTCCCAGTAGGTCCGGCCCTTCTGACAGGGCACCAGGCGAATTACCAGCTTCGGCTCGTGGATGCCAAGAGCCTCTAAGGAGGCTCTTTGGGGTTTGGGCTTTAGGGTTTATGGCGCTTCGGGTTCGGGGTTTTAGAGTTTGGGGTTTAGGGTTTAGGGTTTGAGGTTGAGGGTTCAGGTTTTCGGGTTTTCTTTGCAAGGTGCATCGGACCTTCGACCGTCCGCAAGCCCACCCGATTCGGGCGTGCACTCAAAAGCAACTCACCATCACTCACTTCACCCACGCCAACAGATGAAGTGAGTGATGGTCAGTTGTTTTTGAATCATTGAGGGTTTGGGGTTTCGGGTTTTGGGTTTGTGGCGCCTCGGGTCTAGGGTTGAAGCTTCTTCTGGCACTTCTAGGAACTAGGGGCAAGGATCCTCCTGCTCGTTTTCTAGACCTTCCATCTAAGGCTTGGGGCTTGAGCCTCTCACCCCAAGCAGTCGACCCTATGCAGACGTCATTACGGAGTTAGATTGGGATTTGATGGTTTTATGGCGTCAAGCGTTTATCATGTTTGGATTTGAGAACGAAGGTTTGAGGCACCGTTCTTGCTTTTCTGACACAAACCCAGATCCCGAAATCTCAAACCCACTTTGAACCCTTCTGAACTTCTGGAACACTTCTTCTAGAACGCATAAAACCCTCTAAAACCAGCAACAGACTAAATGAAAACCTGAACCCTAAGCCCTCAATTTAAAAAAAGGAAGACATCTGTCAAGAAAAGCTCAGGTTTCGATCCGGTGTCCTGCATTGTAACAGGGTCGACTGAGCTGCAGTTAAGGTTTAGGTATTTCTTTTAGGGTTTAGGGTTTAGGTATTTGTTTTAGGTTTTAGGGTTTGGGTATTTGTTTTAGGTTTTAGGGTTTAGGGTTTAGGTATTTGTTTTAGGTTTTAGGGTTTAGGGTTTAGGTATTTCTTTTAGGGTTTAGGGTTTAGGGCTCCGGGTTTAGGGTGTAGGGTGGAGGGTTTCGGACGCGTGATGCGCAAATCCTGACGTGGGCACTTGCCTCAATCACTCCGAAATCCCCAAGCTCTATCGAGCTCAGGGTTCATCAGACCCTACACCCTCAACCATAAACCCTCCAAAAGCTCCAACTCTCAACCATACATCCTAGGGTGTTTTTTTATGGCCTTTTTCCGTCTGCGGTACATCCTAGGGTTTAGAGTCAAGGGTTTAAGGTTTACCTGTTTCCCTACACCTTTCACTCCGGAAGCTGAGTTTGCCCTTGCCTCTCGGACCATGGGCATCTGAACCGGGGAGACCTCGCAGGGGCGCTTCAGAAGATGGCATCCGGAGGGTCTGTTGTAGGTGCCTTTTTGGGCTTCTTCGTCTGGGACGTCCTACCTTCTTGGGGGAGGTGGGGGGGGGGGGGGTCAGAACTTCAGGGCTTCGGCTTCTGAAGCTTTGGGGTAGGGTTTAGGGTTTAGGGTTTAGGGTTTAGGGTTTAGGTTTTAGGGTCTTAAAGCCGTTTGGATCCCCGTGCCTTAAAGCCACGCGCCCGTTCCCAAACCCTTTGGGGGCCCTGAATCCCTAGACTGAACTTTCCGCCTACTCCACTTAATGGCAACTGTGAATAGCAATCACAACTTCAATAACAATAGCCATACTGATCAGAGTAACAGTAACAATAACTGCACTACCCTAAACCCTAAGACCCGAGAAGCCTCCCTAAACCCCTCAACCCCTCAACCCCAAAACCCCAAAACCCCTAAACCCCCTACACCCTAAACCCAAAAGAGTCGCCTTCAAAGCCTGATCATTGGTAAAATAGATCACGCGGCTCGTGTGCAGGGATTCACCCAGGCTGTAGTTCCTTGGCGGATTTTATAGGGTGCGGTATTACAGTTTGAAATGGCTCTAAAGGGCTCTGTAGGGATTTAGATGGGTGTACAGAAAGGACTTTATACGGTGTTCCGAAGGGTTTGACAAGATCAAACAGTGAGCGTTTGACAGGGGAGGCTTGATAGGTTTTACAAGAGTTTAGAAGGAAAGGGCCTTTATAGCTACTCAGGTTTTGTCAGATTTGAATAAAGGGGTTGTAGAAGGTTTCGTAGACTTTCTAGAATCTGTAGAAGGAGTTAAAGCTTTGGGGCAACCGCCGAGCTCAAGACCTTTCAATGGGCCCCTCAAACTGCGAAAAACACAAATCGCTGATGCTCAACACCAAGCGTCACAGACTCCACCATGTAGCGCATGGTTTCCACCTTACAGGTGCCAGAACAAGAAGAACGCACAAAGAGAAGGACATCATTGGGCGCATGGTCTGGTAAGGCATAATAGATCCGTCGTTTCAGGGGCTCCCAAAACCCTTGCGAATCCCAGACCCATGAAACTCCGACACAACCCAACTCCACACCCCCGAAGCCCCAGATTCTATGCGTGGGCTTCTTTGGTGGCATCTCCAAACTTTGGGGGTATTAAAAATTAGAACAATAAGAACCAAAATGATCATAATCAAAATCTTAAATAATAGCAACAGACTCAACATGCTACTATTAGAAATCATCGTAACTACCTTAACCTACCAAACCCTACTTGTTTGTAGGTTCTTGTCATAACGCCTAATATGGAATTTCCAGGGACCCTACAAAAAGGTAGGTTCTGGTAGGGGAACCCTAAACCCCAAACCCTAACTAAGGTAGCACCTACAGAGGATGGATCTCCTGCCTTGAGCCTGGCAAGCTCCTCCTCGGCGGAGCCGGGTTTCTCGGGGACGTCCTCCTCCTTGGACGAGCTTGGGTTCTTTCTAAAGATTTTAGGGTTGAGGGTTTAGGGTTTGGGTGGGGTTTTGGGTTTAGGGTTTAGAATTTAGGCTTTGGGTATCAGAGCTGAGGGTTCAGGGCTTCAGGGGTGTGCGGTTTGGAAACGGGCCTTAGGGGTACTCCGAAGTTCAAAATGGACAATGGACAAAGCTTCCTCTAGTTGTTGAAGCGGTCGTACAGTCTTACCGGATTTACGGCTTTCTTATAGTGTTTCGGTCAACCCCTCAAAGCCTTGTCCGCGCGGGAAGAGGACGGCGTGGAGGGCTCACCCCGCGCCGTCTGCTTCATGCAATCCAAGATGAAGCCCTGCACGTTGTCGAACCTGGGGGTCTCTTCTGGCTTCTGCAAAATACCACGACAAGCAAAGCCTGGTGATTCCAAAATACATCATTGTTGAAGTGGACTTGAACTTCAGTTCCGAAAAACCCTTCGAAAACCCCTGGAAAGCCTTTAGAGCACAAAAAAAAAAAAAACTACACCCTAAACTGCCCTAAACTCCCCAAACCCTAAACCCTGAACCCTTAAGCACGGCTCCGAGTGACTTCAGGGGCTGCTTCAGGGAGGCCTTCCGGGCGGCTCCAACAAAGGCGCCCGCCTCCCTCAGGGAGGGTGGGTGGCCCATGGGCGGGATGAGGCCCGAGAGGGACAGCGAAGACTCCTCCACATCCTGGCCCGGACCATGATTTATTTTGAACAGGGGTTTAGGTTCCCGGGTTTTAGGGGTTTGGGATTTTAGGGTTTTGGTTTCAGGGTTTTAGTGGTTTGGGAGGTTTGGGATTGGAGGGTTTAGGTTCCAGGATTTTAGGGGTTTCGGGGGGGTTGGGATTTTCGGGCTCAGGGGTTCGGCAGGGTTTGGGTTTGAAGGTTTTAGGGGTTTGGGGCGTTTGGGATTTTAGGGTTTAGGGGTTCAGAATGGGGTTTAGGTTTCAGGGTTTTAGCGGTTTGGGGGGTTTGGGATTCTAGGGTTTAAGGGTTAATGGGGTTAGGAATGCGAAGATGCTCTTATCATCCCGGAAACCCGTCAAGGCTACAAGCACCAAGGATATCTCCCAGACGGCAATCACACAGGGCATTGAGATCGCTGTCCTTCATGGCCTGTTCCACCTGAGTTGCTGGCAACACTGAAAGAGACGCCTGAAAGGCGACAACTGCAGAAACAAATCCTCACATTGCCATACGAAAGACGTTCCTGCGTAAATCCTTGTCTCTTCAGTGCACGACTAGAACCAATAGAACGAAAGCTTGCTCAGAACTAACACAGCTCAAGGGGTACCCGGCCATAACTATCGCTTCGCACACTCAACCGCGTAGCTCGACATGCCAGTATGCAAGCCCAAGAACCTAAAGCACAAACCATCAACCCCTTGAACCATTAAACCCTAAACCCTCAAACCCTAAGCCCCAAACCCTGCAACAACCCTACAGAACCCTTCGAACCCGATAGAACCCCATGCAACCCGAACCTTGCTAGAACCCTGAGGAGCCATTGTAGAACCCTTATAGGGCCCTTAGAAAGCCCTTGTTGGAGCTCTGTGCAACCCTCATGCAGCCCGAGTCACCTCTACCGCGAGCTTTTCGGGTAGTATGCCTGCCAAGGCATTCGTCCGCCCCGGCTCGTCGAGTGGATCTCCGGGTGACCTTGCATCCATACTTGGAGGTTCATGGGCAGCCATGAGCGGAGGCATACGAAAGGAAAGGATAATTGTAACCCATACCAGGGGACTTATGACCCCACTTATAACCACCCATGAACCTCCAAGTACGCCGCGGGTTCTTTTTGAGCGCCCTCGAGCATCCTTCCAGATAAGGTTGGTTAGAACCCGAAGTGGGAGGCTTTGGCTAGGATTGATTTCGGACTAGGTTAGGGTGCAGTTTCCCTATGGCCTGCACCTCCAAACCCGATGAAACATCTCCCTTCTGCCGAAGCTGCCAGAGTGCCATGACGGTTGAACCACACGGGGGGCTGACAAAAGTCGGGTTCAGGCTGCAGGTTTTAGGGCTCAGATGCATCGGAAAATGCAGAGTTTGGGGCTTGCTTGGAGGATCCTCCGAAAGTGAGGTTCCATTACGTACCTTCACTGGGGGCAGAGGTGCTTGAAACCATAGTTTACTTTTTACTATTACTAAATCTCATGATCCTGAGAGAAGGGACTGGTGTGGATGATGCCTAGGTCCCGCAGAGAGCGTAGACCGAGTGCCCATCGCGCGACAGCCACCACAAACCAAGAGCGGCAACCCTAACACGTTGAGACCTAAATCTACCCTAAACCCTAAACCCTAAACTCTAAACCCTAAACCCTAAACTAAGAAGCCCAAACGTCAAATTGATTTGAAGACCCCAGGGAGCCAGAGTCAAACTAGCCCCTGACCTACAACCCGGAAAGCTGAACTCCAATCAGCCACAAACCCCCAGAATATGGGGGGGGCGTAATAATTAGAATAGGTTTTCGGGGCCCATTATATTATAGTTGTAATAAGGAACCCCAAATTTGAAAAGGTAATTATCAAGGCCCCTATACTAAACGCCTCGGAAGCCTTCCACTACCCGAGACGAGGTGCGCGGTCGCAGTCGGATCGGCACCTCCATCCTTTTAGGGTTTCGGGTTTAGGGTTTAGGGGTTTAGGGGTTTAGGGTTTAGGGGTTTAGGGGTTTAGGGGTTTAGGGTTTAGGGTTTAGGGTTTAGGGGTCGAGGGCTTAGGGTTTTGGGAAGCAAACGTAAGGGAGGTTCCTTCTTTGAGGGTTCCCCTACGGGTTGCTGTAAGGGATCCATGATAAGGGCTTCCCTTATAGTATCTTTGTCAAGAACCCTTAGACGAACTCTTCCAGATCCCTCAACAAGGATTCGTTTTGGGGGTACTAGTGGAGATCCATAAGAAGGATTCCGTTAAGGCTTCCTGTGGGGCATCCTTGAACTTAGAGTATCCAGGAGGGAGCCTGCAAGGGATGTTGGGTTCAAGTACTTCTTTACCTCATGACCCTCTGGAATTCCCTAAACCCTAAACCCTAAACGCACGGAACATGAGTTTGGGGTGTAGGACATCATAAGGACGCTCAGCGGTCGTTGTCTTCAGGACTTCTGGAACCAGTTGAAAGCCCTAAAACCCCCAAATCGTGCCGTCGTCCAATGTCGGTGGGTGTCAAGAGTTGGACGTCTTTTCTGGTTTCAAGAAGCACATCAGCTCTGTAGTATACATATATATATATATATGCATATGTGGGTGTGCACATTGGTGCCTGCACGGATATACAAACAGATGAGTAGGTTTGTGTGTACGCATGTGTATACCTATCTCTATATATATATACATAGATATATAATAAATGAGTCTCTTTGCTATTTGCATGTTTTCTTGTATACCGATGTGTAGAGTCAGGTCCAAAATACCCACATGCCTATACACACACCTACATGTAATGTGTGACTGTGTATACACATATATATATACACACATGTGTATGCGCATACAAGCAATGTAAGTATGTATGTGTTCATGCATGTGTCTCTGTGCGTGTGTGCGTATACCGTATATATGAATATGCATATGATTATGTACTTATTAGTTGTGTGTATATGTATATGTGTGTGTATGTATATGTGAATGTATATGTACATGTGGACTCTTGTGCGCGTGCATGCGCATTTGTATGTGCACATGTATATGTATACGTGCACATGTACTGCTGACTGTAGATGCACCAACCTGCCACAGGATCTCAGCTGTAAAACCATCATGTCTGTTGTCTGCCTGTCCATCTATTTATCTGTCTGCCTGCCTCTGTAATTACATCACACAACGTGTTGCAACGCAATACAACATGAAGAATTCTCGCCAAAATTATGGCCCGTGGCAACAGGGCGCCTCCTGTCCAGCGCTTGGCGGCGTCTTTGGGCCCGCAGGCGTCTCAGTGCCGGGCTGTTCCTTGAGAGAGTCGTTGAAAGCTGCTCACGTTTAGCGTCTCGGAAGCTTCAAGCTCCTCCTCCTTTTGAGTGGGTTTTTTTGAGGTGTTCGGGGCTTGGGGTTTAGAGAATTTGGATTTGGAGTTTGAGGGCGCTCTCCAGGTGCTGTGTCCGGCTCCTCTGGCTTTTGAGTTGCTGCCAAGTTGCCAACGGCTGGCCTCGTCAGGATGCAGGGTTTTGTTGCACAGGCTTCTTTACTACCTTTGACCGTTGTGATCTCCATGATTTGACACGGCTACAAGACTTGTATCGTTGCGCCGTGATCGCAAAGTGAATGTGAGCATGGGAGCTGTGGCGAGTCTGCAGAAGGCTATGCCTCTGTATCCATGCCTTTCACACACATCTCCACTCGACCCGAATCCCGAAGCCGCTTGTCAAACCCCTGCCAGCCGAAGGGTTTAGAGTTCAGGTTTAGGGAACACCCACAAGCTCGAAGAGCTATACCTGTCAGACTTTGCAACCCCGAAAGCTTGAATCCCTCGAGATTCGAGGAATCCTTGGGCCCCACGGACCTTTAGACCTAGAAACTGCGAGCCCTAGAATCCATCAACTAACTATTTCAGGAAGCCTGGTAGACAACCTATAAGGCACCCCCATATCCTGAAAGTCTTCAATCCTCTGAAGCCTCTCCACAGCGTACACCCACGAGCCCAACCTTCACCCCTACACCCCACGAAGCTCTTAAACCCTGATACCCGAAACCCGAAACCCCAAACACTAAGACCCTAAAAGCAGCGAACAAAACGAGAAAACAGTCGGTACCTGGCAAATCCCAGGACGAGTCCGATGCCAGAGTCGTCAGTGTCGGTAGATCGGGTGTTGACATGGCAACTTTGGCACATGCCAGGGTTAAGGTTTGGGGCTTAAGGCTCAGGATGTAAGGGTCACGATATAGGGTTTGGGGTTCACGGGTAATGAGGGCATTATTCGAATTGGCTCTTCGAGGTTCAGAGTTTCGGGTTCATGGTGTTCCGGGGTTGGGGGTTGAAGCCGGGCAGCTTGACATGAAGCTCGATGATTTGCTGACATGTTCTCTCGCTACATCTACTACACTTGGCAGGCTCAGCCCAATCGGTGATTGCATGTCGAACATGGCAAGAGCTTGCGGTTCCTCATGAAACACATTGTCCACACCAACCACTGCTGGCGGATCACCCTAAATTGCAGAAATCAGTGAAGCCTAAACTCTAAAACCCTAAACCCTAAATTTCAGAGATCCCTAAACCATAATTATGAAGCTACTCGGATACTCTGAAAACTGGAAGCACGCATTCGAAGGGCGAGGGGGCTATGATCCCTTTCTCGAACCTCTCGCTCAAACACTACTCATACCATTTGGTGAAAGAGACATCTCTTTCGGGCCATAGCAAACTCTAAAGCCTAGACCCTAAACGGCCCTAAACCCTACATCGATGTTACTTCCGAGCCAAGTCTTCTGCACGTCTGCAGTGGCAAACCTCGACGTGACGCCACACTACTACAGCAGCAAGCTCAGCTAGGACACAAAGGAGCGCTGTAGTGCTCCCAATGCGGCAGCTAACCGGCTGCCGCGGATTGCCATAGCATTGGCGGTGGGGCCAAGAACAGCGAAGAGACCCATGATGTCCACAGCACAAACACGCTGCTTCTCGGATTTGGGATAGCAGTGCAGAAGGATGGCAGCCTACGGAAGTGGTTCCCAGGATGGTCCGGAAGACGACTCTTCCAACGGCGGGAGGTCGCGGAGGAGCCCTGACACTTCAAGAATCGGGTGGCCTCAATCTTGGACCGTTCTCAAACCTTGCGATCTGCTTGTTTACCCACTTTTTGTGGCAAGCCGCATCACCAGCCAGCGTGGACTGCATCAGGACAGACAGTGCCCCATTGAAGACGGCAATGTTTGCAACGCAGCTGGCCGGCACGTTCTGCGCGCCTGAGCACACAGAGATCGGAAGCCATAGCACCAGTCAACAGCAAAGGCGCAGATCTGCCTCTCCCTATCAGTCATTGGCCTCTTATTGCTGCGTGCAATCCTGCCGCAGTCACATGCGGTGCAGGCTGCATTGGCAAAGAGCCCAAGCTCATGATACGGCCAAGTTTGCCCTACGTCAATGACCCAAAGCACCTTCCCCGCTTCCGCGCTCAAGCGGGCCATGCCACTTGTTGGGATCTGCTGGTGCTCCGATTCGCTGCGGAGTGCTCGCGGAGTTTTGCTTTACCAGCATCAGCGTCACCATCGTCATGCACGTTCCAGTGTCATCACCGTGCCGGAACCTCGAAAGATGCTCTGGCATTCTGTGACGAGAATCGACGTGGAAATCAAGTCCGGGACATCTCTGCTTTTCACCTGTACGCAGAGGCACAGACGTCCGGCTGGCAGTATCCATGTACTGCAAATCTTGTACGCATGGGGGAGGCTTCGCGATGATACCGCTGATACCACAGTCGGAGTTCCTCAGTACAAGTCGAAGGCTCTGACATCGCATGCAACCAAGCTGTTGTTGATAGTTGCATGGTTACTCGTTCCTTCCCACTACAGGGCGCGGGACACCACAATGCAAAAACACAGGAGCCCACCTGTGCCAAAGTCTTTGTATACGGGCAACACATAACTGGTTCATCAAGGCAGCTGAGGATGCTTGTGTCGCACTCGACTTTCAAAGCCCGGATGCCCTCACTGACTGTTCCAGGACGAGACTGTACAAGTGTCTCGGACACAGACGGGCCAGGTAAGCTCCAAAGATTGCTGACCATCACTTCCCAGTCCTCGACAGCATCACTTCCCAGTCAATACCACAGCGGACATGTACAACACTGCCTTCAAGGAGAAACGCATCCACGAGTACCACGATATCGAGGAAAATCCACATTGTCGAAACCGCAACCAGGGCCTTGACAAATTTGTCCACACACAGCATCGCCATGTCCACATCCAGTTGAACCACACCTGAACAATTCAGAAAAAGAAACTGCAAGGGAGACGTTGTTGAGAATGGGCTTATATATAGAATCTCCAACCTCGGAGCTTACTCTCTAAACTCGGCTTCGTGCATGAAGGAGACCGTGGACTCCACTGTTGGAGCCGTCGCAAGGCCTCAGACACAGGCATTGCACAGTGACATGTCGTGTCCGAGGAGACCCGACACCCTAAACCCCACACCTTAAACTCCAAACGCTAAACCCTAAAGCCTGAACCCTTAATCCCTACACCCTAAACTCACCTTGAACCCTAAATCCTAAACCTCGCAGACGGGGATGGGTGCACTGGGTGCAGCCCGGCTGCGGCACCACAGGGCCGAGGTCGCGTGGCCACTGTAGATAAGATCTGGTCGACTCCTGCCGCCAGAGTCATCAGGCAGATTAGGGTTTAGGGCTTTTTTGCCGGACTTGCTTGTACCTGATCGGTGGGTTTAGGGTTTAGGGGTCTCAAGTCACTCTCCCCCTTCCCTGGATGCTTTGGTCTTTGCGCCATCGTGGGTTCACCAAAGGATTGGCTGCGACGCCACACACGAGTACAATCTAATCCTTAGTTGCGTTTGCTGTGGTACCGCCTGGGCCCTGTGACGCCACCCAACCCTGAACCCTAAACCGGAAACCCTAAACTCTAAAGCCAAAAACCCCACACGAAACACTCAGACCCTAAACCCTGAGAGCAACACGTATAGAACCCTTCAAAAGAGAAGGCCATCAAGGAACACTAAAACCTCAAAACGTCCAGCCTTCTTCCTCTGGCTTCTTGTGAAGGATAAGTTACCATACTAGGGGATCTATAGTAACTGATATGGTTTCTTCATTGTGGTAACTTAAAACTAGATTCCTTAACAAGAGCCCAGTCCTTCACTGCAGCTGTATCGCCGGTGCTTCCGTCGACTTCCGAGCCAGGCGCTTGTTCATGCCGCCTCGTCTGGTCTTGGACTTTCGGTACCTCAAGGCTTCGTTTAGGGAGTCGGGGTTTAGGGCTGAGGGGTTTAAGGGTTTAGGGGTTCGGGGTTAGGGGTTTAGGGGTTTAAGGGTTTAGGATTTAGGGCCGTTAGGTGGGGTTTTGGCGGGTGTAGAATCAAGAGCCTGGGTTTAGGAAGTAGTGACGTAGTGTTTAGGGTTTAGGTTGAGGCTTTAGGGCTCGGGGATTTGGTCTTACCGTCTGTTTCCAAACCCTGAACCCTCGACCCGATCACTGAGACCGGCACTGGGTCATATTCGTCATAAGATTTGGCACGTCGTCTTCCTCCGGAAGGGACCGCTCCAGCTGAGCCCAAAGATCGGAGAGGGCAACCTGAGCCGAAGGGCCGGGCGCCTGGGCGCCCGAATAAACAAAGGCAGGATACCTTGGTTTAGGGCTTTGATAACGACAGCAGGAATGGCTTTAGGGCTTCAGAATGTTTGTACACGGAGACTCGTGAGGGCCCTGATGTTTCAAAACCCCTCACCTTTATGAAGGCTTACAATCGGGATCCTAATGTTGTGGCCTTTCAAGAAAGGCGCTTTAAGGGGTTTGCATTGCAGAGTCGGTGATCCAACGTCCGAGAAGCGTAGATCTTGCCCAGTGGGAGCCCGCACTTTTCTCCCACGAACTGCTCCTGACGGAAAAGCTGGTCAGCCAGAGGAAAACTATTGACCCAAGACCGCGACTCCGCCATCTGAAACCCTAAACCAAGAATTCCTAAGTCCCTCAATCTCCTAAATCAAAGCAGAAGCCCTGAATTCCCAAAACTCCGAAGCCACCCGGCAGAGGCCAGTCCAGCTTCTCCGGGTGAAGGGTCTCGGCCAAGCGGCCTGGCGGAAGTAAAGCATAGGAGAGATGAAGTCATCAAAACACGCCGAGGAAACTGAAAGCGACAAGAGGCCCAGCCGGAGCAAGAGAGCAAGAAGAAAAACAGGGTAAGACTCCGAAAGGAAAAGGATTAACAACGGGATGAGGAGAAGCAGCAAGCCGGTTACGATGCCAAAGGCGACCAGCAGCAGCAAGCAGGCGCCACCACCACTACAACAACAGCATGACAAGCACCACCAGATAACAACGGCAAAAGAAAGACAGCAGCCACCAAAAGCACAACACACCACAATTATTATCACAAGCGGATGGCGACTGCCAGGACGACGAGGAGGAAGAGGAGGAGGAGGAGGAGGAGGAGAGCCAGGGTCAGCCAACGACACACGAATTTCCATGGTCTTGACCCTCATCCGGCAACCATCGTCTCCTTCCTCACCATCACCATCCGTAGTGATCGCGAACATGCTTGCTGTCTTCCTCATCATCATCACCTTCTTCTTCTTCACGCAGCCCTAAGACATAGCCCAGGCAGGCTTCAGTTTTGGCCACTTGTTGGTGAATACTGCTTACGATGTGGCTTAGACTAAAGCCCCCGCGCCTGTCTCCTGAGGCAGCAGGCTCTCGGGAAGAGCGGCAACAGGCCATGAGGCGGACAGAAGGCGATGCCGAAGATCCTGAAATTCCAAAGCCAGAATGGTTTAAGGCGGCTGGTTTGTTGAGGCTTAGGAATCTCGATTTCATGCTTGAAGGTTTAGGTCTAAAGTTCATGGTGGTCGACTGTAGCAGTGTCCGCTCTCCCCCTGTCCAGTGACAAAACGTCAGTTAAAGGATCCTGAGGTGCCACTCAGCAGTTGCACTGCCATCGGTACCACTTGCAAAACCGGATATCCACAGGACAAAGGTATATGGGTGTAGAGTTTCAAGTTGCAGAAGCCTTGCCAAAACTACATCGGCACGGGACGCACGAACAGAAAAAAAACGGACAGACCAAACCGCGGCATAATCAGGGTGTCGTTCGAAAGCCGTAGGGTCAGGGCCGGTTGCACCCGTAGCTTGTCCTGAAGCCTACACCGTTTGCAGTCGAACTCAGACAGCTTGTCTTGTCAGAAACCCAACGGGTACCAACATGTGGCCACCCACTCCACCCTGGCTCGGAAATGCCACTGCTTAGCAGGAAAGCAATCAGCATGCAAGAACGATAAGAACCGTCCCAGCCGCTATCATCATGCCTCCTGGTTTAACGATAACACGATGCCGAAGTTCATCACGTCATAGAAAACGGTATTTTTAAAATTCATGATCGAGAAAACCCGCCTGAAGAAACTCTCTTGACATTTAGACTTCCTTTCAAAGGACTGCACGTCGTGCTGTCATTTCTGGCCGCTACCAGCAGACAAGCAAATCAGTACCATTACTACACTGACACTTACAACGCAGCAATACTCGCAGCAGCAAATACACCAGAAGATGCAAAGACTCGTCCGGAATACCTAGGAAGAAACAAAAGGTGCAAGGCCAGGTCACTGACAGGCCATCGACCGCCAACTCCGGATGGTTACAGAGGACCCAAGCGGAGCAGCAGAAACGCACCTTTAAACATCTGCTGGGAATTCTGTGATGTCATGTGTGTTTCCTCTTTGTTGTTTGCGTGTTCGTAGGTTCTTATCCTGGCCCTTCATAGTCCTTCTGAGTGCTTTGCTGTGCCGTTGGGGTGGTGTCGTCGTGGCCGTGAGGAAAGTAGGGGTCAGAGTTGTTCCACGGTTTTTACAAGATCCCGGGTGATGCGTGATGCAAGGAGATGATGGCTTGGTGCTGGACAGTTCGAAGCCTGCACCACAATGCATTGAGTTTATGCAAGAGCTGAATACAAGAAGGCGCAATCCCAATGCAGCTGCGAAGCTGTGTTCTGGAAGCTCGCTGTGCCGAACTTTCGCAGAACCCACACCCCAAACCTTCAACTAAAGTCCTACAACCCTGAAATTCCTGAAGCCCGAAACCCTGAAACCCGAAAAGTGCGTGGGGATTTGATCTTGATGTTGTCCCTTGTCGCTCACCCCACCGAGCTATTGAATGTGTGGTTGCCCTTCTCAACAGACTCGATAATCTATCACTTCCGCTTCCACGTTCCAAACCTCATCCCTGGCAGGCAGACTCAGAGCACGCTTTTTTTCTCCTTCGAGAAAGGCGATGAGCCGTCTGTGCGCGGGATGGCTCTGCTCTTGAAAGGGTCACAGAAAACGATAAGCTATATTAAGCTTACGGCATCAGTTTCTTGAGCCAAATTTTGCATGGGCGGCATGATGAAGGGAGTTCGGCACGTGCCCACAGGCCGACACTCGGAGACAAGGTACGCGAAGCGTTCCCTGCGCCTAGCTGTACATACTGGAACTCATAGCTCTTATCGTGACACCACAGAACCGGACTGGGTATCGATGTCCGTTCGCAAAAAGCCTATGATCCCTAAAGCCGAAACCTGAAAGGGCCTTCAAAGTCTAGGAGAAACTCTTAACGACCCCAAAGCGCCCTGAAGTACACCGAAAACCAAAAGGGTGTGTCCTACAGCCCACTGCACCTCAACCGGCTCCTCTTTTCAATCCCAAAGTAGGGTTTGAACCAAATGGGAGGAACCGAACCCTAACCCCTAAACCCTAAGCCCAATGCCCCAAACCCTAAACCCCGAAACCCTAAACTGGCCCTAAACCCTAAGAGCCTGACTAACAGTCCCCCTCTTCGCAGCCGCGTGGCCATCGCTGAACCGAGCCACGGAGCCTCCTCCGCGGCAGCTTTGGGCGGGACTCGGAAGCCCTGCCCATCCTTCAGGGACTTGATGGTTCATGCTTCCTTTAAGGGTGCCTTTAAAGGGATCTATAGGGATGCTATAAGGGTATAGGGTTTAGAGTCTGCTTGATGGTTCATGGGTAGTTATAAGTGGTCTGAAAATCGCGGACTTATCCCCACGTAAAACTACCCATGAACCTCCAAGTACTCGGGGTCAGTGTCATTAGATATGTCGATATATGTATATGTATGTATATGTATATGTATATATATATATACACATATATATATATATACATATACATATACATATACATATACATATACATATACATATACATATACATATACATATACATATACATATACATATACATATACATATACATATACATACATGCATGTTCATGTGATTATATACGCAGATCGATCTCTATATACATATATACATATATACATATATATATATATATGTATATATATATATATATATATATGTTTGTGTACACATATGTCTAATCATATGTCTAGATCTATATATCAATATATATATATATATACATTATCAATTATCTGATTATCTGTATAAATATGACAATAAACCTGCATACGTATAAATATGCGCATACGTACAAGCATACAGAATGTCTGTGTGAGTATGTTGTGGCAATGTGTCCATAACAATACAAGTGCACGTATATACAGAGGTGTATAGACAAAGGCATGTGCATGCATACATATATTTATGCGTATGTGCGTATGTGCGTACGCATGTATGTATGTACGCATGCATGGATGTATGTATGTATGTATGTACGTAAGTGTATGTGTATGTGTATATGTATATGAATATGCGTATGTATAGGTATATGTATATAACTCATATGTATGTATACATGCAGGTATGTGTATCTGTATATGTCAAAATAAACACGCAGATTTATCAATTTAAAGGTATATTATGTGTACACATGATTTAATAATTGCTGTCCGAGACTTGCTAATTTCTTTATCGATCTACATCTAACAGTCTATATATCTACCGATCTACATACTCACCTCCAGCCTATCCGTCTATCTACCGACCTATCCCTCTAGCTGTCGACAAGTGCAACCATATAACTTCTCAGTCGAAGGATTTAGCTATTTGTACAGGTTGCCTGTCTGAATTCTTGAGTGTGCACCTGCAATGGCAGTTTGATTCATGTGTGTGCTTTTGTCCCCCCCCCCCCCCCCCCCCGCAGCACCCTAAAGACAAACCTCGAAACCCCCTAATACCCCGTATATTTTCCTAAACTCCGACTACAACCTCTAATTACCCCTAAAACCTGAACCCGAACACTTCAGAGACCTGGCCTGCACCCTAAACCTTCCCAACCCACGAAACCCTAAACGCCAAACCCGAAACCTAACAACCCCTAATTGCCCCTGAACCCCAAACCCTCTGGCAAGTAGACCCTAAACCCTAAACCCCACTTTCAAACCTCTAAACCAAAGCCCTAAGCCCCCCTTAAGTGCTCAAAAGGCTACGGGTGGAGGCCTCGGAGTCGAACCACGCAAGCTGCCGCAAGAGCTGCGCGGCGGCGGAAGGGCCCCCTTGGGAGCTCAGACGCATGAGCTGAAATTTACCTTCTTAAGGGTTTAGGGTTTGGGGATTTTAGGGTTTAGGGTTTAGGGGCTTATGGATTTAGGGGTTTAGGGGTTGAGGGTTTGAGGTTGTTTATGGTTTAGGGTTTAAGGGTTTGGGGGCTTAGGATTTTAGGGTTTAGGGTTGTTTAAGGTTTAGGGCTTAAGGGTCTAGGCGTTTAGGATTTTCGGTTTAGGGTCGTTTAGGGTTTAAGCCCTTGTAGGGCGTTTGAGGCATAGGGTAAGGTGGAGTCGAAGGATTTGAAGTTTCAGGTTCAAGCTACAGTCTTCTGGAGCTTGGGGCAAAGAAGACATAAGGAGCAAGTTGTGGCTGAGGGTTTGGAGTATGAAGGATTAGTGCGACTCTAAAGTGCTCCAGCAGGACAACGGCCAAGAAAACCCCCGGAGGTGAGCGAACCCGAGATTTTCGCCGTGCTTTTCCTTGATTTGCGACCCCTATAGACCTGTCACAACCAACAACACTTTGAAAACAAAACACAATTCCAACTCAAGCCCCCAACCAAAGTCTTCTCCAAAAAGTAGACCCCCATCCGCGCCCACCAGAGCCCTCCGTCCTGCAACCACCAGCGCGCCAAGAAGAGCCTCCATGGCATCAGCCGGCGCCTCACGAGGAACGCCAGGAAAAAGGCTTCAGTAAGAAAAGTAACGGTAAGATGGACTGTTGCAAGAACGACAACAGCAACCACCGTCAAGCATATTAATGATGTTCCTGTAAAGAAGAGTAAACAATAACAATCAGAAGACCAATAACCATAGTACGAAAAATACGTACGTTCGTCATTATCGCAGCAGTTCTCGCCATGATAACAGACCTGCAAAATAGAAGTCTAACACATCACCATAGCCTGATTAAGAAGCACATTAAAGCCTGCAACCTGAGTCCTCCGAGCCCTTGCAGCTTTATGCAACGAGCACAGAAGCAACAATCCTCGCAAACCATGCAGTTTCGATGAGAACCGCAATGCCTTACTACATACAGCCGCATTGTAGCAGCTGCTGTTTTCTGCTGATACCGCTACTACTATAACTCTCGCCGCCC